ATGGGCTGAATTGCACAAAACGCATGATCGCACCGGCTAGTTTGGTGCGCGTTGCCATTTATTTGCATAGTTCCCCGCAGATTTTTGTCGCTAACGTTTTCAGGCGGGCGCTTCTAGCTAAAAGAATTGTGATTGGCCGCCAGGACTGTCAAGAAACATCCCCTTAAAATTCCAGTCTTCTACCTTTGCGGGTGCCCGAGTTAGCAAATTACCCGGAAGAAGCTTTGGGGGGCCCGTACATGGGTGCCATGCGGGTAGGGGCGCCCGTTTTGGAGATGAGGGTCCGTACACGTATGTAGATTAAGTTCCCAAAGTTTCAGCCCCGCGACTTTTGTAGGTCCCGAGATGAAAAATCGGTATAGACCCACAGCGCATATACAGAAACACAGAGGGACACACACAGGCACAAACACACAGACAACTTCTCGTCAATTTGCATTTTCTGCATTGCGTGGATGCAAAAAATGCATAAAAAGTTTCGTTACAAGTTTGTCAGGTGAATTTTTTTTTTTTTTTGTCTGCTGCTCGCAAAATATTTGTTGTCCATTTCCAAGAAATATTTGGAACAAAGTAACTGTCAAGCTTCTTAGAGACGGGTGGAGCCCGGGCCAAAGTGTGATTGGGATTGAATCCTGGTTGCCTTATAGCTTGCTTCAAGCCACCACACGCCCCAGTTCTTTTAGGAATATTGGCCTGTTGCCTTTGGTTGATAAAACATGCATTACTATATAAACTGCGCACAATCTCTGTATGTTCTGGATTCGTCCGACATGAATTTATAATGATATCACCGGGCCGAAGGGTGACATGCATGCCCGTGACTAATTCTCGAGTTCCCCCGACCTCTTAACCTGAACCGAAGCTTGATGCTGACGCCAAAGAGCAGTGTGCACAGCTGTTTGAGAATCCCAGAGGAACAACATGGAACTCCTTTTAGCGAATTTCTATGGGAAACCGATTTCTTCTTGCTCGTATGAGAAGTTTTTTTTTACAGAAGTTTTGCAGACAGGCTCGAGCCTTTCCTCGGTTCCGATCGTAGACGTACTTGTAGTGCCTTCCTGTTGTTTTTCTCAGGCCAGCCACAGAAATCCATCTGTTCCGCTTTTTTTACTGGAGACTAGTCCGGTTATTGTTGAATGTTGAAAAACTGTGATTTTGCAGGTCGGATGATGAAGCAGTAGCAAACGAAGAAGGCGAAGAAGGGCAGTTTGGGGCCGATGAGGACGAGGAATCACCCAGCACGTACAGTAAATCCAAGCGCGGCGCATTCAACATGCTGGCTGCCGTATGTTTATGTGTTTACATGTACGCTGTCCTGTATATGCGTTGTGTACTTGCTGCACAGCTTCCCTCTTTTTTCCCGATTTCTCTAAAACGCTTAATAATTTGAAATTTCTTGCCTCATTTTACTCCTCTGTACTATCCCTGTTCCTCTTTTGTCCATGCTTGATTGGTGCATTAAAGAGCTCCATCCAACTGTACCTTTAATCGTAGCTTGCGTTCTTTCCAGCTTGGATCGGACGATGACGAAAGTGAGAAGGAGGCATCAGATAACGAAGAAGAGACACCGAAGAAGAAAGAGCCGAGTAAGCCAAAT